CTAATCGTTTACCCGTATTGTGTTCTCTAAGTAGTCTGCCTTGGTTGTACATTTGGCTGAGATAGGGTTCTTTTGGTTAGGTAAATGTAGTAGTTCTTGGCCCTAGGCTTTTTAGTGGTCTGTGCGTTTGTTTGGCTTTTGAGGTTGGCTTGATTCCTTTGCTTGGGCTCGGAGGTCAATGTATCTTTGCCGTGCGCCATTGCCTTCTCAAGATCCCCGTGGTTTGTGTTCTGATCGCTTTATTGTTGGTTCTTTGCTCTGTTATCATTACTGCCTGCTTTTTTCTCCGCCTTGGCTGTTGCCGGTTAAGTTGGTTCTAGAGCCGCGTTGTGGTCTTCCAACTTTCTGGGTGTGCCTCAAGGTTCAGGTTCTGCTCGAAGTTTATGTTTGTTGGCTCAGTTTTGGCATTTTTAAGTTCAATGGTCAAGCTTGTGAGATTGTGTTGATGGTTCAGTGTTTTGAGTATGGATCGAAAATTATTCTTCTATCGTTATCAAACCCTTTCTCCTTCGTTTTAGTTTCTTGTGGCTTGAAAATGTCTCTAGAGAAATTTGTTTTCCTTGGCTTTGTTGTGAAAAACTTGTATCATATCTTGTAATCGATTCTTTGGATTTAATATAATATTTTAGATGACAAAAAAAAAAAAATAGTTATCCGTGTTACTATTTATAGAGAGGTCGGCTATATAAGGTATTTTATTTGAAGTCTAATCCAATTAAATGAATAAAATATTTAGCGCGGACACAATAAAAGGATAGAGATAAGATAACTATGATAACTATGACAAAACATATTATAAATAAATCATCGCCTTGCCCTTTCACCACCAATACAGACGATTCCTACAGCTTCTTCCACGTGTCGCGAGTCTACTGGAAGAGTACAATACATACAACTACAGTCTACCATGTCCTTTACACTAAACCAAAACAAAAACTTGGAAAAATAAGAAAATTAATCACAGTTCCACCCAGTCAAATCCATTTTGTTTCAAAATAAACCCGCACCTTTATGATGAAATTGGAAATTCCAGGGATCTTTTTGTTAAGGTGAAAACAAATAGGGTCTTACTCAAAAGATTTTAAGACTATTGGGTCCACTAATATCTTCTGAATTCTTCTCCACTTCGAGATCTCTACAATGGTGTCTCGATCGTAATGGGTTATTTCAATTTCTAATTCAGCTCAAAGATCATAAGCCAACTGTAGAAAACTTCCGACAGGAAAAAAAGGAGAGGTTTTTTTTTGGTTCTTTTTGCGTTACCGGAGAATAAAGTCGGTACCTTTTGACTGTGAGTTTGGCCGGAAAAGATGGCGAATGTGCCGGAGTTAAAGATCATGAGGAGCGAGAGCTTAGGGCATCGAAGTGACGTGTCGAGCCCAGAAGCTAAGCTAGGGATGCGTGTGAAGGATCTCTGGGATGAGCAGAAGCCACAGCTCAGCCCTAACGACAAGCTTAACGCTTGCTTCGAGAGCATCCCTGTCTCTGCTTTCCCTCTCTCCTCTGATTCTCAAGGTAACAAAAGTTGTATGCGGATTTGATGTTGTGGGTATTTGTTCATGAGATCTAATTTATTAGTTGGAATCGGTGATTTTTATGGGTTTTTTCATAGTGGTGAGTCAACTTTGATTGAGTTTGGGCAAGAATTTTTCCCTACTTGAATACATGTTCATGATCGTTTATGAAGTTTAGATGGTTGTTTGATCTATGGGAGGTATGGAGATTGATCGTAAAGTTTGAGATGCGATCATATCCTTATTTGATGGGTCCCTCCTATGATCTCTTGATAAGTATTTATTGATGAATTGTAGGTGGATGTGTGGTCTAGATTGAAATTCAAGTTGTAGAAACGTTTAGAAGTCAGAACTTGGAATCAATCCCAGCTTTTCGGGTACTGTGTCAGTTCGATTTAAGGAATCAGAACTAGTTGTTGATGGTTTACGTTTCTTAGTCCTTTTTTTTTGTGGTATATTCTTGCAAAATCTTTTGATGTACCAAAAGCAAAGAATTGGTACTGTTGCATCTCTTTCCAGTGGAAAACTAGACCTACAATTTACTTATCACAATTTAGCATAAGTGTCTAGACTTGTTCCTAATATCTCTTCCTGGTTTCCCTATCTAGACATCGAGATCAGATCAGACGCAAGTTTGGCTGAAGCTGTTCAGACACTATCGAAACACAAGGTCTTGAGTGCGCCTGTTGTAGATGTTGATGCGCCTGAAGATGCCAGCTGGATTGATCGCTACATCGGTATTGTGGAGTTTCCTGGCATTGTTGTCTGGCTTTTGCATCAGGTCAGTGTTCCTTTAAACCGTCTCTTTCGAACATCTGACTTTTGTATCAGTCTTATGCGTTCTCCAAGAAAATATGAGAGGCGACCTGTTAGACCCGATCAATTAGATTGTATTACTGAGTGAACTATATAGTTTATGTCTTTGCTTTACTTGTCTACTTTGAAAAACAGTTGGAGCCTCCATCTCCAAGGAGCCCTACTGTTGCAGTTTCCAATGGGAACTCTCATGATTTCACCGCCGATATTCTGGATAATGGAGATTCAGCAATAACTTCTGGCAACTTCTTTGAGGTCCTTACTTCTTCAGAGCTATACAAGAACACCAAGGTGAAGCTTCTATCTTTATGAAGGGGAAAATAACCCACAAGTTTTACACTTCCATAGATTTTTTCCCTGATTACGGCTTCTGAAATGCATTGAGTAATCTCTCTGTCAGGTTCGAGATATCTCTGGAACATTCCGATGGGCACCATTCCTGGCTCTGCAGAAAGAGAACTCCTTTTTAACCATGCTGTTACTTCTTTCGAAGTACAAAATGAAGAGCATCCCAGTGGTTGATTTAGGTGAAGCAAAGATCGAGAACATAATCACACAATCAGGAGTTATCCATATGCTGGCAGAATGCGCAGGGCTTCACTGGTTTGAGGACTGGGGAATCAAAACTCTCTCTGAAGTCGGTCTTCCCATTATGTCAAAGGACCATATCATAAAGGTCAGTTTCTAATCTTACTCATAGCTCCATTGAGTTCTTTGTTCTAAACAATATCACCATTTCTGTTTAGATCTATGAGGATGAACCAGTTCTTCAGGCGTTTAAGGTGATGAGGAGAAAGAGAATCGGAGGCATACCCGTCATTGAAAGGAAAAGTGAGAAGCCAGTAGGCAACATAAGCCTGAGAGATGTTCACTTTCTCCTCACTGCACCAGAGATCTACCATGACTACAGGTTAGTACTTCATAAATCCTTAAAAGACATACCGAGTTCCGAGTTATTGTCAGTTTCAAATGCTTTATCTTGATCTTTTTAGGTCAATCACAGCAAAGAACTTTTTAGTAGCGGTTAGAGAGCATCTGGAGAAGGGTGGGGATACCTCAGCTCCTATACTGAGCGGTGTGATCGCTTGCACTAAGAACCATACACTAAAGGAACTGATCTTGATGCTGGACGCTGAGAAGATCCACAGGATTTATGTGGTGGATGATTCAGGGCACCTCGAAGGACTCATCACTCTCAGAGACATCATCGCAAGACTTGTACATGAGCCATCTGGCTATTTTGGGGATTTTTTTGACGGTGTTATACCTCTTCCCCAAAACTACCGAGTCTGAGAACATGGTGTCTTTCTTGTGTAAATTATCTTTGGTTTTGTAATGCTTCTGTGTCTGTTTGTGCCAAACTTCTTGAATTTGTGTTATAAACATTTTAAAAGAATTAATAAAAGAAGAAAGAGCCAGTCTTTGAGTGAATATGTCTGAAATACAATCTTATGATTCTCGGAATTGACCCTATGGTTTGAATTGGAACAATTAGGTCCCTGGTTGGAGTAACTGTTCTTCAAACTTGATTAAGATCTGATCCATCTCCGGTTGATGTTTCCTAACCTGAAATTTCAGACACTTAATTAAATACCAAAATGAGAATCCTCATTACAATCATTGTAGGGAAATGTCTCAAGCTTATTCATCTAAGAGACTTTAATTACTTTGATGTTGGCCATGGATAAGAGCTTGTGAGAAGCTGCATAGGCAATATCTGAGTCCTTTAATCTCTTTTCCACAAAATAGATGACCTCAGTAACTCCAGACTGAAAGAAAGAAAACCATAATGAAGCAAGTCCTGTTGATTGTAATGATCTAACTGGCATCAAGTTAATCGGCCTAAATAGATTACTAAGGTTTCGGTGTTCGATATCAAAACGGCATGTTAGCTAAGACATTAACCATATAACATTACTACAGTACACTATAAGGATCTAAATTTGGATAAATTAATCAGAACTGTTTGAAGAACAAACCTGTATAATAATCTTGGCACACTCGTTGCAAGGGAACATGGTCACATAAAGCTTCTGCAAAAATTTGAGGAACACAAACAAAGTCAAATAAACCATCCACACCTGCATATTGGGGACAGAAACCACATATGGCTTTCTGTTTCAAACTCTTTGCAGCTGAAAGTTTCAGGTGTTCTATAGCAAATAGCATTTTCAACTTCTTAGCTGTTGCATAGAATATTCAAAAAGTTTTAATCTTTTGGCTCAAGCTAGAAACCCAATGCGAGAAAACAATGTTCAAAGAAACTAACCTGTCCAGCTGCAGATGCGTGGTTTGTATTTAGTATGGCATTGACTTCAGCGTGACACACATATCTACAGTGTCATAAACATCAGAGTTTAGCAATGAGCCAAAACGTATGAGGATTATAACATCTCACCGTATTACAGATTTCCAATAAACTGTGCACAATACACAGCAAAACAAGAAGTTCAAGGTTTAACTGTAGTCTGGATCATTAGAAATTAGTACTTACGGATACTTTGTCTCCAATGGGTCGTCAGTTCTCGATTTCTGAAAAGTGGTAGGAGCAAATTAAAAGAAAATGATCCAAAATGATTATAGGGGAGGAATCTATTTGCATTATCTCTAGAGATTCATCTCTTTACGGGTACATTGTTTCGATCCTTCAGCCCATTAGTACACTTAATTTTTGTTTACTGACTACCTTGACTGTAATTTTAATGAGTTTGCGTACACAACTTCTGTATTATTTCTTGAATTTCAGATAAACGTAATACCTTGGCCCAAGGAAGTTTGTCATCTGAGCAGCCTCTTGGAAAACCATTATAGCCAATCCCTAAATGAAAGATGAAAGTTTTGTTATTCACATCGTTTAACTGTGTCTCACTTGCACCAGATTGCTAGAATAAGCACGACTTTGAGTGAGAACATGAAATAACTACACAACCCACATTTCATATTGTTCAAAAGAGATCAAAAGACAAATGTGATCCATTATCTTACCCAGAATTACACCATTTTGGCTCACCAAACACGCACCAACCTGCCAAAGCATATGATGGGAAAGATAGTCAATGGTGATAACTTCCAACAATTAAAATGAGAATGGACAGAACACGAAATCCAGCCTTTTAGCATTAACCAATCCATCACAAAAGGAAGGCATGGGTACTAATATTTAATTTCAAATTTCTGAACCTTAAAGTCAAATTCCTAGGTTCCAATTCCAACCTTTAAGACTTCAAAATCCATACCTTATACTCAAAAGGTGCTAGGCATCAAAACACCATTGTACTACTATCTTAAGTTCTTAATACAGAATCTCTAGCCTGAAAGTACATCCACATTGAAGACAACAAACTTTATCATCATAAATAGTAAACATTTGAGCAGCTTTCAGGGAAGAATATATAGATCTTTGGTAGTTATTGCAAGAGATTTCAAGAATCATAAAATTCCAATACAACCAATCTTGAGAAAATACAGTTAAAGACGAAAGACCTTTGGCAACATCATGTAAGAGACTAAAAAATATACAGATGATCGACGTTCATCACACAAGCTAACATATGATTTTCATTAAGGCTGTAACTCAAGTGAAAACTTCCACTAAAGCAAACATACTCTCATAAACCCTTTATATCTAATCGAATCTCAATTGAAACTTAAAGAAACTTTGAACAAACTATTTGGGTACTCATTTTGTTCATCATAAAATGAGAATTCCCAACTGACTAAAAATTACCTGCCTGTTAGGATCCWTTGATCTTTCTGCTGAAAGAAATGCAATCGCCATGAAATAATCATCCCAAGATAAGTACCTTATCAACAATCAAAAGAACAAATTTTTACCTTCAGGCAAAGAAAAAGTCCATAAGAATAACTTAAGCTCGAGATAAACCTCCGATTTTTCTTAAAGTTGGAAGATTTAGCTATGGATAAATTCGGAGTGTGACTGAGCTCTAAGAAAGCAACGAATCGATGAATTTAAGAGAAATTAGACAAACCCTTTTCGCTTCGAAGGACTAAAAGGATCTAGAACTGGGATTCTTGTGGAAACTGCGGAGATTTCGGTGGAAGTAAATCTTCGGGATTTGGGGTTTTTAGGGTTTGACGAGAGGAAGCGAAATGCGAGAGATGAAATCAAAGCACCGAAAATTGCAGAAGTAGAGACGAGTGCAAGATCTCGAGAGTTCATGGAGTCTTCAATGAAAAACACTTCTTCTTCTGAAGAAAAAAAAAGCCTTGTGGCAAGAGAG